CCTGGAGACCCGGGATCGAATCCCACGTCAGGCTCCTGGTGCATGGAGCCTGCTTCTCCCTCTGCCTGTGTCTCTGCCTCTCTCTCTCTCTGTATGACTATCGTAAATAAATAAAAAAAAAAATTAAAAAAAAAAAAAAAAAAAGAGAGAGAGAGGCAGAGATACAGGCAGAGGGAGAAGCAGACTCCATGCAGGGAGCCCAACGTGGGACTTGATCCCTGGTCTCCGGGACCAGGTCCTGGGTGGAAGGCGGCACTAAACCGCTGAGCCACCCGGACTGCCCAATAAATAAAATCTTAGAAAAAAAAAACCCAAAAAGATCATGGGACACATTTGAATTATAAACTGGAAAAACCCATTTGATTTCCACTGCCTATTCCCACTCCATCTGAGGATGCTTCAAGCTTGACATCTGAAAATCTCACTGGCAGCATTTGAGACTCAGAGGCTGGGTTTATCATTTGCTCCAACCATTAACCTGTGTTTTACTTTTGTTTTCTTTTTATTATTATTATTATTATTATTATTATTATTATTATTATTATTTATGATAGTCACAGAGAGAGAGAGAGAGAGAGAGAGAGAGAGAGGGAGGGAGGGCAGAGAGAGAAGCAGGCTCCATGCACCGGGAGCCCGATGTGGGATTCGATCCCGGGTCTCCAGGATCGCGCCCTGGGCCAAAGGCAGGCGCCAAACCACTGCGCCACCCAGGGATCCCTACTTTTGTTTTCATAAAAATGCCTCTTCCTGATTACTTGATTGCTTGCTAACTAAGGCAGAGTCTATATGATGGCTAATACCACTTGCTGCCCCTATATGAACTCCTCCTGGGAAATAAGAATCCATATAGATAGAAGCAGGCCCAAGCCACTTGGCTATAAGAAGCCCTCTCCAAGGTGGCTGGGACTGGTTTACTGATCTATTCTCTTGGATACCCATTGCTATCAATTTTCGAGGGACGGGTAGGTTTAACTGTACTATTACTTTCCCTTAAAATATACTGGGGATAAAATTAATGATGTCATATAGTACCAAACTATGTGGGAAAATATCCAAGTTCTTAGATAAGGAACCATTTCCGGTAGTTGGTTTCTGTTACCACAAGGGACTGAGAGTGGCATCCTATACCATGGCAACTCCTTCCATTGCAAAGCCTCTACTGCACCCTGATTCAGCTTGAAGCAGTTACAGGAGACAGATCTTTGCCCATATCCCACAGAAATGTAACAAAAGACTGACAATGGGAAATTACAACTGGAAAAAAATTTAGTATGCCCGACCCCGTGTTGCTTCTATTTCCCTTGCTGCGATGGCTTTTAAGTTAAAAACTTCTGCTTAGCCCAGCACATAGGCATATTACAGATAAGATCTGCCAAGACTGCTCTTTACCCTAAACCTACTTCACCTGAAGAAAAAGAAGCGGCCAGAGTGCTCATCATTTCAGTTCTTCAAGATGGAGAAATGATCATAACCCAGAAGAATTGCAACCGCGCCCCATGGGGTTAATGAAGTTAAAACTAACAAAGAGTTTGAAACTTGTTTTTCAAACAACTATTTCTCCCAACCCCCTATTGTGTCTTTTCAGACCCCACTAATTCACTAGCTGTTCCTGCAGAAGCCTGGTCTCAAGGTTAGTTGATATGGTTCCAGCCTCTGAATGAACAAGGCTCTGCATTCCTTTCCAAAGACCTCATCCATATCATCAGCTCTTGGAGCATGCCCATAGCCGCCTCTCTTTATCCTAAGAAAAAACCTCCTGATATCAGGGACTTAATTTTGCCTTTTTAAAAAAAGATTTTATTCATTTATTTCATGAGAGAAAAAAAATATATTTTTGTACCTAACAACGAGGGACTTGATGCACCCAGGGCAGACGAGCCAGTCACCCTTGCACCAAGAGACATAAAATAAGGTTGATTTTCAATGTTTTCTGAGGAAAAACTAGTGATCAAAAGGGGGAAATGATAAAAGAAATTTTCAACTTTCAGTGTCAGTGGCCCTGCTCCTGGGCTCCCAGGGAAGCTCTACTCTTACCAAGGTCAGAATGACTTCACCAAACTTCAAAGCATGGGTTCTCTCTCTGCCCTGAGCACACGTTGTCCGTTAGCAAATAACCTAAAAAAATATTTCAAACTACAGATAAAAGTCTCCCTAAGTTCTGTCTCATACCTCTGAATCCTGCAGCCTTGCACATAGTAAAAAGCCTAAGATATTGGGGCAGCTGGGTGGCTGAGCGGTTGAGCGTCTGCCTTCAGCTCAGGGCATGATCCCGGGGTCCAAGATCCGGCTCCCTGCAGGGGGAGCCTGCTTCTCCCTCTGCCTGTGTCTCTGCCTCTCTCTCTCTGTCTCTTGAGAATAAATTAAACCAAATCTTTAAAAATAAGTAAATAAGCCTAAGATGAGAATGAGCGAGGGAAGGACAGAGGGAGAGGGAGAAGCAGATTTCCCTCTGAGCAGGGGAGCCTGATGCAGGGCTCCATCCCAGGACCCTGAGGTCATGATCTCTCAACCAACTGAGGCCACCCAGGCGCCCCCCCCCCCTTTTTTTTGCAATTCTAAAAAGTTTGTTCATGTTGTCATGGACAGAGGGACTGAGACTCTGACCACCAAGGAATTGCTATTGAGGATGGTAGAAAGGCAGCTTACACAGAAGGTTCTGGCCCGGCCTCCACAGCATGGCTCGTCAGGACACTGAGCTCCCAACCCTCTAGCCCTGGTGTGGGAAATCACATTTCCCCCTTAGTTTGCTGAAGCAAGGTTGGGATTTCTCTTCTTTCTTTTAAGATATTATTTATTCATAAGAGACACAGAGAAAAAGAGGCAGAGACATAGGCAAAGGAAGAAGCAGGCTCCCAGCAGGAAGCTTGATGCGGGACTTGATCCTAGGACCCTGGGATCACCACCTGAGTCAAAGGCAGACACTCACGCACTGAGCCACCCAGGTGCCCCAAGGTTGAGACTTTTTAAAAGGCCGCCTTACTAAAAAGGAAGAAGGAAAAAAGTACAAATGCATAGGGACAGATGACTTAAAATGCCTGGATTTCTCTTCCAAGGTAACAAAAGGCCAGTCACAAATTAACCGGAGGAAAAAGGCAAACATGTTTTGAACACCTATGATATGTCAGACAAGAATCTAGGTATTTTGCAGTGCTTGGGTGGCTCAGTCGGTTGAGTGTCTGCCTTTGGCTCAGGTCATGATCCCAGGGTCCCAGGAAGAGCCCCATGCTCGGCTCCCTGCTGAGCAGGAAGCCTGCTTCTCTCTCTCCCTCTATGCCTCCCCCTGCTCCTTCTCTATCTCAAACAAATAAATAAAATCTTAAAGAAAAAAACTAAGTGTTTCACATAGGTTGGCTGATTAATTCCATTTTAAGCTTCACAACAATTTTGTGAAATAGGTTTTATGCCCACTTTTTAGAAGATAAGCAATGCCTGGCGAGGTTAAGGTGCCTTTCTAAGCTTCAGTTCCTACGGGTGGCCTGGGGTCCAAACCGAGGTCTGTCGGGCAGCACAGCTTGTGCCAGTTCACTAAGCTTGGGTGTCCCAGCAGCTCCTCACCTTATCTCAGTCTTTGCTGGGAAATCTGATGAGCCCTGGGCTAAAACACCTTTTTTTCTTCTGGCCCTGAAGTCTTTTCCTGTGTCTAGGACCCCTTCAGCTCTCTGAATCCCCAAAGGGCAGTGGGTTACTATCGTCTCTCCGCATCTAAGAAATTAACTTTGCTGGGTTGGCTCTGACCCTTGACAGTCAGATTCTAAGAGTCTCACCATTTATCTCTTTTGTGAAGAAAAGCTTTTACTTTCCTATTCAGCGTTACCAGCTAAGAGAGGTGATTTTTGGAGGCCAGGCACTCAAGGGAATGGCACAGGCAGTCCAAAAATAGGGTAATCTGGGGCCCAGACAGAAGAGATACTCAAGGGAACATCTTAAGAACCCTCCAGGGCCATTGATCCATAGGCACAACACTTCTCGGAGACAAAATCAGTAAAAGTATAACCTCTGTTCTGTAGGGAGGAGAGTCTAGGGCAGCTTATGAAACTTGAAAAGGCTGTGGATACTAAATATTAGAAGCCACAAACAGTCCAAACTTCTCATTTCACCTTCGAGAAAATAGGGATTCAGACTGTGAAGTGACTTGCTATGGTTCCAACAGCCAGTTGGTGGACTGTCAACTTTTAGTCCAATGTTCCTTATGCTCCGCCACTAAAGAGACAAGCTGAGGAGGGAGCTCATGGATGGCTCCCCCAACAGGAGGGGACAACAGTTGCATTGAAAGCGAAAGTTGCAGGGGCCCGGGGGTGCAGGGTGGGGGGGTGGTACTCAGTCGGTTAACCGGTTAAATGGTTAAATGTCTGTCTTTGGCTCAGGTCCTGATCCCAGGTCCTTGGATCCAGCCCCACATCAGGTTCCTGGTCTGGCATCCAGCTCCCTGGCTGTGGGGAGCCTGCCTCTCCCCCTCCCTCAGCCTGCTTCTCTCCCTGCTTGTGCTCTTTGACTCTGTCCAATAAATAAATAAAATCTTTAGAAAACTAAAATAAAATAGGAAGTTGCCAAGTAGAGCCTAGAGCAGCTGACACGCTTGCTAGTGCTTCTTTGGCTCATCAGCCAGTGTGATCCACACCAACTACTGTCGGCCTGAGTACTCTTTCCTCCTCTGAGGAGCTGTACCCTCAGCTGCCCTTGGTGCCTTGGAACATACTGGGAGAACTGTACACAGAAGGTAGAAGGTGGTGGGCAGCACCTTATTTTGGAATTTGTTTATAAAGAGACTAAGGAGAGCTTGGGCCATTATTCTCAAATTCTCTCAGCTCCAGGTTTGCAGCGGGAATTCCCACTCACCTTCAAATAGTCTGGCCCAGTGGTGGGTGTGGGGCCACCACTGTTTCACGGCCAGCGTCCCACTGCTTCCAGCCTCCCTGCCCTTGGCCCTCATCAGGCCCAGAAGAAGCCACTGGGAGGCACATGCCAAGCTTGCAGATGCTTTTACTGGGGAGGAGGGGGGCTGAATGAGAGTCCTGACAAATCAAGCACAAAGTGCTCCAGTCTTAGGAAAGACACACAATAAATAGGTGGTCACTGGGGAGGGCTCTCAACACAGCGAGAAGGGGCACCGTTTGTCTCAGCTTCTGGGCTTGCTCATCCTCTTTGCTGTGTGAGCTGGGGCGTGGGGTTCACTGCAAACTGGGGACGTGAGTGTGGATTTCTCAGGGTGCCAAAAAGTATCAGATCTGCCATCCTGCTTGCGAGAGGGTCTTGGTCTCAGAGGTGTCTGGGTTGGTGCCTAAAGGCTCATCTGAGGAAAGAAAAGGATCGAGGTGAGGAAGGTGGCAGGCCAGGGATCCCCAGAGCTCGCGTCAACACTCAGCTTGGAGCCTCATGGCAGGCTTGAGCGCCCTGGCTGCGCGTGGGAAGTCGGGCCTCTGAGGGGACTGTCCTGTGCCCAGCACCCGCCACACTCGCTCCTAGCCCAGGGCTGGGCCTGCGGGCTTGTCCACCTGGCACTCTCCCTCCTACCCAGGGAGCATCCCACACTCCCTGTGAGGGTCAGGGCCACAGGGTGTCCTCACCCCCAACGTCCTTCTGACTTTTTCTAACTGCGCCAGGACCCGTGGGGCCTCCTGTGGACACAGCATCTGGAGCTCCCCGGGTCTCATGCGAAGCAGCTGGCTCCCTGTGAAGAACCCGAGGCTCTTCACGGTGCTGGGAACAAAAACAGGAGGTGTCGGCAGGTGGAGTGGAGGGCGGGGGCCTGCGTGTTGGAGGCGTGGTGCATTTTGGAGTATGAGGGGCTGTTGGGCTTGGGTGCTGGGGTTACAGAATTCGGGGAAAAGCGTATCTGGAAGTGACGGAGTAAGATACGCATGTTGGCTTAAACCGACTTCAGAACTCTTGGGTTTGAATCGAGGAATGCCCTGGAAGAGAATTTTGCGGCAGGAAGGGATGGTTGGCACCTGAAGTTCTTTCGGGCTTCCTGGAATCCTACTGTCCCCCCAAGGCAGAGGCTCCCCGTTCAGTGCTCTAGCACGTTCTCTCTAACTCAGCAGAGGGTGGCACCTGCGGGTCTCTTCTGTGCGGTGCATGTTCTGGGTGTTCTGGGTGTTCTGGGGCTCCGGGCTGCCTCGGCTGTAACCTGACTCCCTCCCAAGTGCTCCCAGCACAGCGCCTAGGGCAGGACACTCACGTGGTGGAGAAGTTCTGTGCCTGCAGCCAGGCCACCACCTCCTCAGGCGTCGAGCTAGGTCGAAGCACTGGAGCCTGGAACCAGGGGAACCCGGGTAAGAGGCCGTCTCATCTCATTTCTACCCACGGCCCCCAACATCTGGGCCTTTTCTCTGGACTCCCATCAAATCACTTATCTCACTCCGCGGTTTGCTTGTCTGGTGGGGACAAGGCCTTGTTCTCTGCTCGGGCCCCAGGATAAACTTGGCACACAGGGAGCCTGTGACGATGCCGATTAAATAGAACCAAGACTATCTCCTCCACTTGTCATTGAATCCCTCCTGCTCCCACCCCCGGCCTGTAGCTTCTGGACGGTCTAGGCTGGATAGTACCCAAGAAGGCGACTGGCTCTGGTCCCCCGGGGCCCTCGACTGTAGGGGCTCTAGGATGTTGCTGGGAATGTAGCCACTCTGTCCCTTCTCATTCTTCACCAGCCACCACCGCTTGCTCTGGTCCAGGACCTGCCAAGAGTCCCTACTTCAGTCACCGGAGCCTCTGTCCACGCCCAATCCCCAATACGGCTTTCTTCCTTCCTGCCCTTCCCCACCCTCCTTCTCTCTAGGCCGCCCACCCCAGCAGCCCCACACCCAGACCACCAACGCCAGGCTGCCTACGGCTCCCACCCACCACCACCTCTTTTTCTAGGCTCAAGCCCGAGTCTCACCTCCAGCACCTCTCCCTGGGCTACAGTCAGTTCCTGTGGGTTCCTGGCTTCAAACTCGTATAGGACTTGCATTTTCAGGGCTGGCTTCATGGGTCTGGAACTGGAGGGCACGTGGTTGGGGTCCCCAGGCTGAGGGCCATGGTTGTGTGTCTCCTCTTGGGCAAAGTAGGAGGTGCTCCCTAATCCAGGGCTTCCCCCCCACCCCGACCACACACAGAGTCAGGAGGGCTGGAGAATGGAGTCTGAGACTGAGTCCCTGTCCCAGCCCCAGAGACCCAGAGATCTCCTGCCTGGAATCTGGTGGTGACCCTTCGGCTGCCACTGGGATTTAATGGCAGGTCAGTGTAAGGCAGGGCTTGGGGTGGGGGTTTCTGCAGGCAGGAGGGGGCTGAAATGTTACTGATTTCTGAAGACTCTGCTAGCAATGGACTCTTCTCTGTCTGAGCTCTCCTCTGAGTGCTTTATACCTGAGCTCTGGGAAATCAGAGGCATGGTAGGTCATATCACAGGAAGCAGGATAGGAGACTGGGAAGGTAAAAAAGCACTTTTCGATTCAAGGTAGGGGTGGGGAGGTGCTGTACAGGCACGTGACTGGCCAAAAGTGAGCTCAGAGGGTCTCTGAGTTGTAGAATCCACAGATCCATAGGGTCAGTCTCACACACACACCCCCATCATAGAGTCCTGGCTAAGCCCAGGGCATACCGTAGAGAGGTAGAGCTCTGGTATCCTGAGGGTGCCTGGGGGGAAAGAGCAGAGAGAGCAAGGGCAGGGAGTCAGCCAGCCTGGTGTGGGAGCTGGCGTATCAGACCACAGCCCCACTCACACATGCCTGCCTCACATCCCCTCCCTGCCTGCCCAGCTCGCAGATCTGGGACCTACCTGCACCCACCTACCACTTAGAGTTGTTATGTGACCATGGTGAACGGGGAGGGCAGAAAGTAGCCAGAGCCCAGGGCTTTGAGCAGGGCTCTTTGCTAAGCATCCCTTACCTGGTTGGAGGGTTCTGGAAGCTGCCAACCATCATAGAATGTGGGTTGATACGGTGGGGGCTCACCGCCTGTCCAGTCGTCCCTGGGGAGAGAACAAAGCTGAGTCCACTTGGTGCCAGGCTGTTGGATGTGGAGAGGGAGGAGATGGCAGGCCCTGGCCTCGAGGTCTTACAAGGGAGGACATGGCCCGTGAGCACAGATGAAAGGCCCCAGACACCCTTACTGGGGCACCCAGTTAAGCAGAATGCATGCATCTGGGTGGGTCTCTAGAGCCCAGCCTCACCTCTGCGTGTGAGGTGCAGATGCATCCACTCCCTAAGAACACGTTGGACACTTTATTGCACTGCCTGGGAGTTTGGATCGAAGGGATGGAAGCACAGAGTGTCAGTGCTGGAAGACCCTCCCGGGGCTCAGGCTGGGCTTTTCTGACCTGATTTTCACTTCTTGGCAGCAGCTCTCTTTCTTTTGAGTTAACTAATGGGTGGAACTTGGCTTGAGGTCACAGCAGCTGTTGTGGTTGACTCCGGAGTGGGGGCTGCTCCTGGCTCCCCAGCCTCCCGCCCTATCGCCCACTGCACCCCTACTGCAGGAGGGGCAGTGCTGTTTGTGGTGTCCTGGCTTGTTCTGCTGGGAATCTTCTCTGCTTGCCTGTCCCGGGGAACCCCTGCTCACCTTGAGCAAGTTCCTTTCTTTCTTCACTGGGGCATTTCCTTCCTCTTGGATCACCCCAATTACTTTCCTCCCCCACTATATCCCACATGCTTCCCACGAGTCTGTATTTCTAACTCTAGGGAGCCCCTTGAGAGCAGCAGCCTGAGTGCAGTGGGTGGGATATTGGAAGCAGCTAATGAATATCTTATTCAACAGGAACGAAGAAATCATTCCGTTTCTGAACCTTTTTAATTGGTTCCCTTTCTTTACCTTAAAAATATGCTCAAGGGGGGATCCCTGGGTGGTGCAGCGGTTTGGCGCCTGCCTTTGGCCCAGGGCGCGATCCTGGAGACCCGGGATCGAATCCCATATCGGGCTCCCGGTGCATGGAGCCTGCTTCTCCCCCTGCCTATGTCTCTTTCTCTCTCTGTGACTATCATAAATAAATTAAAAAAATTAAAAAAATATGCTCAAGGGGGCACCTGGGGGGCTCAGTGGTTGGGCATCTGCCTTTGGCTCAGGGCGTGATCCCGGGGTCCTGGGATCGAGTCACACATCAGGCCCCGTGGGGAGCCTGCTTCTCCCTCTGCCTGTGTCTCTGCCTCTGTCTCTCATGAATAAATAAAAAAAATCTTTAATAATAATAATAATAAACTGGGACAGAAAAGAGAATAGAAATTACCAGGGGCTGGGGAGAGGGAGGAATGGGTACAGAGTTCTGTTTAGTTCATTGTTTCATGGGTACAGAGTTTCTGTTTGGCATGATGAAAAAAGTTCTGAAGATGAACAGTAGAGACGGTTGCACAACGCTGCGAACGTACCTAATGCTGTGGAATTCTACTCTTTAAAATGGCAAATTTTATCTTATGCATGTTTTACCACAACAAAATAAATAGATTACGTTGAACCATAATCCACATCTTCAGGTGGATTGGACAAAAATTATTTTAATGAGTCTGTACTGAGAAGAGCACCCCAGTAGGCAAGGGACTCGCTAGCCCAACTGGCTTGTTTCCTGGTTGACTCCTCTCTCTCTTCCTAAAACCCTCTTCTCTCTTGGTTTTCATGCCATTGCTTTTTGATTGCTCCTTTGAACTCTCTGGAATTCCTCTTTGCCTCCTTGACCCTCTGCTCCCTTTGCCACCTACACGTGAAAGTGTCCCTTCCTATCCCGTGGGCTCAAGGGGGCCTCGCTGGTTAAGTGGGTCCTTGGGGCTCCCTCTGGAGTGCTCCACTTCTGTGCCCACTGCTCTCAGACCCGCAGGCCAGCTGGGACCTCTCTCCTGAGTTCTGGGTCCCCCTGTACCTGGGGACCATCTCACTGATGCCTCAGCTCAGCCGACCCCCACTGGTCCACACCCCCCACCCCACCTCACTTGCTCCCCACAGCTCCCATCAGCCAGCTCAGCTGTGGCCTATCTCACCATCACACTGCGTGGAATATCTCTTTCTCCCTCAACCCCTTGACCGGTCGGTTGCCAAGTCTTACTGATGTTACATCGGCATCTCTCATGTCAGTAATTCTTAAATTCTGGCTGGAGTGAGACAATGTTTTCACTTTGTCCTTGACCAAAATGTGAACATTTCTCATAGCAGGCAGCCAACTCTACTTTCTTGGAAAGAGCTGTCCTTTTTTTCCTTCAGTGGTGAGTGATGGTGACTGGTGGGGTTTTTAATTAAAAAAATGTTTTTTAATTGTTTGTACTTAGTCTAATAAAAAGTTGGGAACTCCATGGAGAGGTCCCCCTGAAATTTGTTTTGAGATATTTCTGGTCTGTGACAACAACAGAGTCTACCATCTCTAATGTCCTGGCCCAGGTCAGTTCAGGCCTTGTCCTCACTCACCGGCTGGTGGTCCAGGCCACACCCAGTCTCTTCCAGAAGTCGCTCTCAGCCGGGCTGAGACAGGACTGCAGCAGGTCGATGGCTTTGGGGGTGAGGAGGGGTGAAATCACTCGGGCTGCTAGACCAGGCTCAGGGCACTGGGCCAGGATCTAGGGGAGGGAATCAAGGTGTCAGGCAGCTTAGGTCTCCCAGGGCCAAACAGGAGTGGGAAGGGGCCCGGAATTCTGAGCTTCCCACTCTTGTAATGCCACATTCCTGTCTCCCTCAGATCCCTGGGGTCCTTGGACCAACCCCAGCCCATCTAGTCTGTTGAGAGGTGCTGTAGACAGCAAGGATGGTGTCTTGGGGTCAATGAGGAGGCTGTATTGTGATGAGCAAGGGGCAGACCCCACAACCTTCCCCTGTCCCCTGCCTTCCACCCTGGCCTCTCCTCCATCTTCATTCCAGCCTGTCCCTCTTCATCACCCTCTCGACCCCAAACTCACAGAGTCTAGAAGTTGGAAGAGGATGTGCACAAATTCGGGAGCATTCTTCTCCTGCAGCCAGATGGCCAGCTTGCCCTGGGGACACAGGGCATTATGTGCTACTACCCATCATTCTTCCCCACCTTCACCAGGACCCCAGGACCCTATAATTGTTCAGGGCCTTGGCTGGGAGCCTGGAGATCTCCAAAAGTGCTAAGTGGAGGAGGGGAGGTTCCAGGGGGAGAAGCTGGAGAAGGAAAGGACTTGGGGTTCTAGGAGACCAGAGAGGAGGCGGTGGCTGGGGAGGGGTGAGGGGAAGACTGTGAACTGGTGAGGAGTCACATACTAGGAGGTTGAAGCTGTACTTGATCTTCTGGAAGCAATCAATGTACTGTGCCTGTGTCATTCCTATAGGGGAGGGGGACGGTGGGGGGTTGTTCATCATCCCAAGACCACACCCCCACGTCCTCCCCCTTCCCCCCAGCCCTCAGCACTCACCCCACTGATCCTTGCCTTTTTTCTTCCCTAGTTTCTTCTTCTTATGACTGCTCTTTGCCTGGGCCTCCTTCAGCTTGCCCACAAACAGCTCGATATCCCTAAGGACGTGGCTTAGTATCTCCTGGACCCCAAACAACCCGTGCCCTTGAGTGGGCAGTTGGGTCCACCCTTCAACTCCCAACCCTGCCCCCGACCCTTCCCTACCTCCAGCCAGAGCCTCAGGCCCAGCCCAGGGTCTGACCAAGCCTCCCTGTCCCTCCTCAGTCCCGGGCCTGCCTTGGCCATCCTGGGACCCAGTCTTCCCTTGGGCTGGAAAGCTTCAGCCATCTTAGGACGATCTACAGTTACCTCATCCCTCTCTGGGCTCTCGGGAGATGGGGTCCGCCTTGGAGGAGGCAAAGTGAGGGTGCTCGATTCTTGGGTTCTGGAGTTGCGTAGCAGGGGCCTTGGGGATGGTGGTGTACCTACAATGTAAGGGGACCATGAGCCTTTCTGATCTTTGATTCAAACCTTCCTTTCACCTGCCCTCGTGCCCCAAACTTACTGTGCTCTGGGGTCATCCAGTAGGACTGCTCTGGAGGGAGCCCCTGCTCTGGTGGGGGTACTTGCTCCTTAGAGAATGACCTCTCTGGAGAAGGCCCCCTCCATTTGTCTTGGCTGGGGTGACGGGCTCTAGAGTGGGGTCTGCTGAGCACATGATGGGGACACAGCTTTGACAGGGTTCTTGGGACAGAGGCTCTGCCCCGGATCAAAGGGTATTACCATCCCTCTCTAGAAGATCCACCTGCCCTGCTCCCTGGTCTCCATCTGGACTCCACCCCACCTCATGTGCCTGCCCTGTAGGCCCTCTCAGTCCGATATTAGTTTCCAGGGACAGTCTCCAGTGTTCCCTGGGCCTGGCCCCCGCTCCTCCCCCACGCTCATCTGCACCCTAGCCCCAGGCTGGTCCGTCCCCAGTTCCAGGCCCAGGTTGGTTGGGTCACATGCTTCTGGGCTCCCCCAGAAGTGGGGCCAGAGTCTGGCCCACCCAGGTCAGAGGTCCTGCAGGTGGGCTGGGGCAGAGACTGCCTACCTTTGCTGTTGCTCCTCCTCCAGGGCCTTCTTCAGGCTGTTCCTTAGCTGCTCTGCCTGGAGGAAGCAGGAGTCAGGCAGGCTGTGTGTGTGTTTATGTTGGGGGGGTGAGGGATGTTAGGGGGAAGTGATGGGCGTTGGACCCTCTCTCGCTCCCAGCCCTACCCCTAGTCACTCACCCTCACTTCCTGGCAGTGGAAGAGCAGAGTGCTGGTGGCTGGCAGGCTGGACCCCTGCACCGTGATGGACAGGATAGCGTTGTAGGAGCCGATGTTGAGCGCCACATCCATGGCCTGGATGCTGTCCAGGCGGTAAGAGTCCAGCTCCTCCTGCACCACACAGAGAGTTTGGCGGTGAGGTCCCTGAGAGTCATGGTGGCTCCTCATGGCCTCGGGCAGGGGTGTCACCTTCTCTGACCCAGTGCCTCTATCTCCCCTCTCTTCCTAGGCCTGAATGTGTGTTGTATACGGGGACAGGCTGTTCTTTGGGGCAGGGAGGGTGAAGCCCATGCCAGGTGCCTGCTTTTCTACACCCGTTAGCTGTTATCCATTGCCAAGTTCGGGGGGGCTGACCTTCGTCTCGATGTCCAGCAGTTGGAACCAGCCGTCTCTGACCTGCAGGAACAGGTCCTGACTCCACACCCGACCCTGAGCATCCATCTCCTGCAGCTTCTTCAGCACATCCTTGGGTTCTTGGACCTTCTGAGATCCTAGCTTACATGTCATTAGGTGCTGAGGGGAAAGGAGGTTTGGATCAGGGGCCCACAGGTGGTGGCGGGACGGGGTAGGGGTGGGGGGAAAAGTAGCAGAGGGGGAAGGCACGTTCTTAGCCTTGTTGCTTGGGAGGTCCCAGGCCATCCCCACACAGCAGCCTTTCTGGGCCAGTGGGAGGGCTGGAAGCAGTTGGGCTGGGATAGAGCCCCGGAGGCAGAGTCTGATGAGCTGCACTAGAGGGTTTAGAACCCTGGAGGAAGGATGTCATGGCCCTTAACAGTCCAGGTCACTTGACGGGGCTGGATGGTGGTAGATGTGGGTTCTAATAACCCAACAAATGGTCTGAACTCCTCTGGGCGGGATATAGGACCCTCCAATTCTGTCCCTGGCTGCCTTTGCCCCCTTTGGGAATCCACCACCCCAGCCTGGTCCTTCTCTTCTCTGACTCAGCACTCCTGCCTCCTTGCCTTTGCTCATGCTGTTCCCCATACCCTGAATGCTTTTCCCACTTCTGCTAGTCTGTCCCTTCCCAGTCTCCCAGGAAGATCCAGAACCCCCTGCCCCTGATTCTTGCCCGATGAGGTCCACGGCATCTCAGTCTTGCTCAGAGCCTTGCCCGCTGCTAGTCCCATCACCCTGGCAGGTTTTTGCTGTTATTCTCCTTCCTTGAGAAGACCCTTCCCTCTTCCCATCCAAACTCCACCCCCACACACCACAGTTCCCCTTGCCCCCCTCCAGGCCCTTGTTGGGGGGCTCCCATTGCCTCCTGCTCCTTGATCCCCTGCCCTGCTCTCAGCCCAGCCCTCAGTGCCTTTCTGGGAGTTCACGCTGCTTACATATTCAGGGGCCCCTGATCTCATGAGCAAATGCCTGGCATCCTGGACACATCTCCTCCTGACCTCACCTGCCAGGCCTAAACAGCCGGCTCCCATGCCCACCTCTACCGCGAGGCCCAGGACTCCTGGCCCCAAGCCGGCTGGCTGGAGGAGCCTGGCCTCTGCTGCCCCGTGAGCCTCCTGACCACTGGCCCTGTGTCCTCCTCTGCTTCTTCTCCCTGAGAGCCCGGATCGGCTGCTGCCCAGGGCTGGTGTCCACCCTGGATGCGCCAGCCTGATCAGGTGTCTGCTCCTCCCCACAACACCCTTCCGGCCTGTGCTTCCCCTGGGGTATCAGCAGCCCTTTGGGCAACCAGAGCTCGCGGTGTTGTCTGCCCAGGCAGGGCCAGAGCCTTCATTCCAGCCCCCAAGCGGCCCGTGCCTGCCCTGGGAACTCAAGCCCAGACACCTCTGAGACAGTGGTCTGTTCAAGTGCTTGCAGGGAAGGCTACCCTCACACGTTCCTTCCTCCTGCTATGCTGGACCCACTCACCTCCACCCTGTGCTGCAGACAGGTGGGCTCAGAGGAGATGTTCTGCAAGTACTCCTTCCGCTGCACTGTAGGGGTGTGGAACAAGGGGACGGAGACAGAACAGGCCGGGGAGACACAATTACAGGGGATGGTCAGCGAGGGGAGGGAGATGCCCGAGGGCAAGGGGTTCAGGAAGGGAAGGGGAGAGGGGACCAGAGGGAGATCTTACGGTAAATGGCTCTGCTGCTGGGCCGGGACATGTTGGCACTGTTAGATGACTCCAAGAATCTACACTGAACCAAAGAGACAGCCATCAGGGCTGGGGAGAAAAATACCAGGACAGACCCTGGCAGGAGAACTGCTCTTGCAGCTCATCACTCACCCAGGCCTGAGGCTTGGGCCAGACTCTGACTTGGGGCCTCCAGGACCAAACCCAAACCTGGCTCCAGGGGCCTTTCTGGAACCATATTCAGCCTTGCCTTCCTCTGAGGAGCCCCATTTTGGCTGGGCCTGGGAGGCCTCAAGGCAGGTTCCTGGCCTCCTTTATTTTATTATTATTTGTTCAGTAAAGCCCATTCCTGTGGACTTAGGAAAGTTCTGTGGACAGGCACCTGGAAACATCCTGTCTTGGGCCTGGATGTGAAGATGCCTCGCTTCTGGAGGAAAAGTGTCAGGTACAACAGCCTTTCTTGCCAAAGCAAACCTTTTGTCCAAGCCTGTTTCAGTTCTGCAAATTGGGAGGAGGTCCATGTTGCCTCTTAAGCTGCAGACCCACCCAGGAGGGGTGTGTGTTGTGTGTGTATCTGTTTGCACGCACGTGTCAATGCATGTTTATGATGTGGCTCTATAGGGTTTGTCAATGATCTACACTTCCCTGAATGTCTTATCAAGACTCCTGTCTCTTCATCTGTCCATACTCTGAACCCTCTGTTCAGAGCCCCTTTCTACCCAGCCCTTTATTTTATTTTTTTAAAGGTTCTATTTATTTATTTGAGAGAGAGAGAGAGAGAGAGAGAGAGAGAGAGAGAGAGAGAGAATGAGAGAGAGAGAGAATGAGAGCACACAAGCAGGGGGAGTGGCAAGCAGAGGAAGAAGGAGAAGCAGGGTTCCCACTGTGCAGGGAGCCCAATGTGGGGCTCGATCTCAGGGCTCTGGAATTATGACCTGAGCTGAAGGCAAACACCTAACTGACTGAGCCACCCAGGTCCCCCTTGCCCAGCCTTTTTTAAAGTTTTATTATTTTTAAAAGATTTTATTTATAAGAGACACAGAGAAAGGCAGAGACATAGGCAGAGGGAGAAGCAGGGTCCCTGCGGAGAGCCTGAAGTAGGACTTGATCCCGGGACCCTGGGATCATGACCTGAGTCAAAGGTAGACGCTCAATCACTGAGCCACCCAGGTGCCCTTTACCCAGCTCTTTAAATCCAGCTCAAGGATCACCTCTTCAGTGAAGCCCCCCCTTGATCACCACACTCTCCCCTGCCCAGAGTGCCTTCCTGATGCTACGCCCAGCCTTGTAGTTTTATCTCTAACAGAGATGGCCCCTCTGGTTAGTGTGTGAGCCTGGGGCTCTGCCCCTTACAAACATCCTATTTAATTTTCACTACCATTGCTCGTACTTCTTTGGCTCTACACGTTGAACACTGTTCTATGGACTTCACCCTCATCAGCTCATTTAATCCTCAAAACAACCTCACCTGGTGGGTGCTGTTATTGCTCCATTAACCAGATGGGGCCTCTGAGGCTCAAAGAGGGTAACAAGCCTGAGGTCACCGGAGAGTATTTCCTGGAAAATGAGCCTAGCCCAGTCTGGCTGCAAACTCCATGCTTTAATTGTGTATAGATGTCTCTGTTACGGGGCTGCAACATGCTAAGGACAGACTTGGCTTGCCACCACTGTCTCCCCAGTGCCTTCCCGGCACAGGGTGTGTGTGTGTGTGTGTATGTGTGTGTCCAGAATGCACACACATGTTGAAATGGAATGGAGGTAAGTACAGTGCGTGTACAGGTGCAGGGTGGGGTGGGAGTGACTTGAACATGTGAGTCAGGGCTAAGTGTCATTTGAATGACGTGTGTATGCTTCATGAATAGGGTGTCAAGTTTGTGGGTGCCATGCATCCCCATGATGTGCCTGTGTCATACAGAAACCCTGAAATAGCCCGGGCAAAGTGTAAGAAGGCAGCCCACACCCATTTATTAGGACTGTTATGAAAATAACAGTGGGTCTGATGAGTCAGTGATGAGGAGATCAGTTGCTAGGAAACAACTGAGGGATTGTGGAGGAGATGGTTGGCTCTATTTTCCTTGTTTGGGAGCTTGAATTAAGGCAAATTTGGCCCTGTCCCCTCCAAGGGGAGGAGGATGCTGGAAGCCTGCTCCTCCCTACTCTACCCCCCAGGCTGCAACACTTCCTGCTTCTAGATCCGGAAGAGAAAGAAGAGAAAATGAACTCTGCCTTGGTTGGCCCTACTGCCCTCCCCCATGCCAGCATGATTCCTGTGGGTACATCCAGGGAACTGTCAAGATCCCAAACAGCAGGAGAGGGGAGGCGGCTGGCTTTGGTCTGCCTTGCCCTTGGGGGAGTAGAGCTGTGGCAGGCTGGTTTCCCAGATGTATCCTCTGAACTTAGGGGCTTGGAGCAGGGAAGGGGTGTCTGCATCGCAGACACTGGGAGAAGGAGCCCAGAGTTGCTTCTGGAGCCCTGGCTCCCCCTCCCCTGCTTCCTAGCCAGCTAGCCGCAGCCAAGTGCCAAGCCTTTCTGGGGCATGCTCTTCCCGGCAGGGAATGCGCTGGAGACCTGGACCTGGGATCACCTGCAGCTGGCGGAGCCCCGATTTTCCTGTGGGCCAGGCCCTTACCTGTGTTCCAGAGGCGCTTGTCCCCCTGAGGGGGCCGGTGCTCGAGCTGGTGGTCTGGTGCTGGGGGTGGGAAGGCAGCGCTTCTCTGTTAGCGGCTGTGGACAGGGGCCCTTGAGCCGGGCCCTGGGGAGCAGGCGGGACTTATGATGATGAGGCCATGAGGCAGCCACACCTGTGCTCTTTGGACTCCGGTGGGCGTGGAGGCCTCGGAGGCCACCACCCGCTCAGCAAGGAAGTCTGGACCTGTGGGAGCACCAGGCTTAGCCAGGGACCCTGCTGCCCAGCCTCCTCCTCTGCCTTCCTCCAGCTTAGGGCGTGGCCTCTCCTCCCTCTGCCGCCTGGTGCCCCCTCTGAGGCCCCAGGTCCACATCAGGCACTAGGCTGGGGCCAAAAGGAGAGGACTGTCTTGGCCCAGGGAGGTCTGGCTTCTGTGGTCCGGGGACAGGTGGCTAGAGGTGGACCCCAGGCTTTGGGGAGGCCATAGACTGGCACGTGTGCCCGGGTGGGTGCAGTGCAGCACGTGTGGATGCATGATTACGTGTGCCCAGTGGTGCCTGTGAGCAGGACCTGGATCTCGGAAGAGCAGATGGGGACCAGGGGCTGGGACCATCTCGGGCATTACAGAGGGTGGAGACTCTTCCTGGCAGGGCCACACCATTCTGTCCTTTCTTGTCTCCTCCCACCCCGCAGGGGACCTGTCAGCCCCAGTTCTTGTGCCCCACTCACTTTCCTTCCCCACTGCCCTATGCCCTCGGACCTCTGCTCCATACCTGGCGGGCTTCGAGAAAGATGAGAGACCGGAGGTTGCCTTTGTCCCTGTTCATGTCCCAGTCCCTCTGCTTCCTTTTACTTAAAAAGTTCTTTGGCACCCAGGCTGGGCTGGGCAGCCTGCCCTCTGGGAGCTTGAAGTCCAAGGGGGTCATGGAAACAGATCAAAGGGAACAAGGCAGCAGGGGAGAGGAGAGGAGAGGGGGGAGAGGTGAGGAAGGAAGGGGAGGGGAGGGGAGGGGAGGGGAGAGGAGTCCAATTTGGTGGCAGATCTCCTGGGCGGAGGTCAGGACCCACTAGGTGTTAGGATCCACGGGGAGGCCCGTGGTCTGGGAGCAGGGCCTGCATCTGCACGTCCATCCTCGGCTTCCTGGGGCCACCCTGGGAGGTCTTGGTTGACTCCCCAGCCTCCGGCCCAGCCACCACTGCCCTTGAGGGTCTGGAGGCCAGGGTTTGCATCCTGGCCATGGCCAGCCCCCCTGTGAGAGTCTGTAGGGCTGCCAGCTTTAGAGGCCCAGGGATGAAGTGCCTGCTGGGCCAGCCCCTAGCCATGGCCTCCCAGGGGGCCTCTTGTTTCTCCACTTCTTTCCAGATAGGACAGCCTGTCTGTCACCTTGCCTCCTCCAGTCCCAGCTTAGCTTCATCAAGGCTGTGGGCACATTCCACCTCTGGCTCAGGCCGGGGGCCCACCTAAGCCTGTGCTCCTACCCAGCTCAGGACAGGCCGGTCCTCACGTAGGCCTCCCGACATCAGCGCAAGCACAGTGAGCTCTCGCACAGCAGACGGTGGGGGTGGGGGGGGAGGGCACAGCCCACTGCAGAGATGCACGTGAACCTCAGGGCAGAGAGATACGGAGCAGCCCTTGGCACGATGGGCTCTTGCACTCCACAGTCCCTGTAGGGGTGCCCTTGGGAGCAACACAGCTGTCCTCAGACAGGAACCCTTTGTGCCCTGGGGGGTGGGGGCTGGACTCAGGGCTTCTTCCGGGCTGGACATTGTGGACACCCGCCAGGGTGGAGCCACTCCAGGGAGGAGGGGCATTAGGAGGGATGGAGAGGCCAGGCCACACACCCCTGGGGATGTGGGGGCCGTAACTGAGGATTCTACACAGAGAAAGCTCCCGGTGCCAAAGTAGTTCTTTATTTTTTTCTTTTCTTTTCTTTTTTTAAGATTGTATTTATTTATTCATGAGAGACACACACACACAGAGAGAGAGAGAGAGAGAGAGAGAGAGAGAGAGAGAGAGGCAGAGACACAGGCAGAGGGAGAAGCAGGCTCCATGCAGGGAGGCCGATGTGGGACTCAATCCCAGAACCGGGATCATGCCCTGGGCCGAAGGCAGGCGCTCAACGTGAGCCACCTGGGCGTCCCACAAAGTAAGTGCTTTAGCGAAGCAATCCTGGCTGGGGTATCGAGAGCTGGGACTCAAAGGGCATCTCCTTGAACTGTGAGGCTACGTGGGCTTGGGACCTCATCCACTCACTCATGCACTCCCTGGCTCTAAAAGAAAGGCTTCCCATCAGCCTGGCCCTGTGCTAGATGCTAGGAGACACCTTGGGACTCAGCCTGACTTCGGTGTCTCCCTCCAAACAGCCCAGGCTCTCCACCCACGTTCCCAGCTCAGTGGAGCCACCAACACCCAGCCAAGCATCCAAGCAGGGACCAGGGCCATCTTCTCCTGGCCCCCACACCCAGCCCCTCCCCCACCCTGTGAGTCTCCACAGATAGATCCACCTGTCCCCCCACCTCACTGCTGTGGCCTGAGCTCAGATGCATCAAACTGGCCACCTGTGACCATGCCTGGCTCCAGACATATTCTTATTCATCTTCCCTCCTCCCTGCACACAGGGGATAATCCTCACCCAGAAAGGTGACCATCCCTCTGTGTCTAAAACCCATCACTGGCTCCCCGATGCTCTCAGGATACAATCCAAACTCCTGATCATGCACCTACATGAAAAGATGCATACATTAATTAAAACTTTGAAGGTATTTGACAATTTATTGGTAAATTCTGATGGACTCTAGGAAACCCAGAAGTCTCAGGAATTAGATTTCAAAAGATTTAGAAAGAATCCCTTAAAAAGCTTTCAATATCACATTCCTTATTAAACTGGGGCTTGGGGCACTTTGGGCATCATTTCACCCCTGAATTATTATCTTGATAAATTAGTCCACAGTGGAACCTGAAATCAAGGCCAGGTGAAAGATGTGTATTCACTCTTCTCCAAACATGCAGATGGTGCCACATTTCCTACTGAACAGAGTAGAAGCTTCATAGACTTGAGGCTCCTGCCTCTGAGCCCGGTCTTATCCCCCACCTCGCTGCCCCTTGCACTTTACACTCAGCTTGGAGTGACCCGGGAATCTGGAGGAGTCACACCTTTATAGCTGGCTCCTTGCCTTTCTCAGCTGGGAACATTCATCCCTTTATGCCTTTAGGCCAACACCCAAGCTGTGCCTCCTTTGGAAGGTTTTCCACTGCTCAGGACTGGTGGCGACTCTGGTCCTCGGCTCCCAGGTCCCTGGTACACACGGCCCTCCATGACTGTACATGTCACACTGAGGGGCATGTCCCCATCAGACTAGGATTCCTGAGGACCCAGGGTAGTTTTTGCCACAGTCTAGAGGAAAGACGGACTTTGTCAACAAATATATGGACTGTGGCATCCCAGGCACAAAGGACCATACTCTGTTTGGGGCATCAGGGAAGGCTTCCCAGAGGAGGGAACGCTGGGGTGGGTTTTTAAAAATCAAATAGGAGTCTGGCCACGGGGTGAAGTGGGAAGGGAATGCCAGGTGGAGGGAGTAGCAATCCTGCTGAACAGGTGGGTGAAATGGTGTGGTGAGAAGTGGTGTATGGCCAGAGCATGAACTCCGTGTGTGTCTACGTATATGCATGTGCGTGTGTAACAGGGAGGTGGTGGCAGGTGACAGAGGATGTATGTGTCCTCATCACCTGGTGGTAAGTGGAATCACTGAATGGCTTTGGACAAAGGTGTGGCGATGATGTTGCTGGTCTGCTGCCTCCTCAGAAGGCCCTGCCATTTGCTGATTCTCAGGGCATAGAGAGCAGTGGCTGAGGAGTGGGGGGTAGGGACAGACCTAGGTGCACAGGTTTAAGGCCGAAGAGGCCAAGGAGTCCCTCCAGGGTCCCCTGGCCTGGGCCTCTCAGAAACTCCAGAGCAGGTCCCAGGCCCTGCTCAGTGCTGGGGAACTCTGGAGGAAAGAGGTCCACTTTCACAGAGGGCAGTAAGGGAGGTAGGGCAGGACTCTGGTATTTGGGGACAGAGGCCTGCTTGTGGCTGAAAGGGGTAGAGTGCCAGCTAAGAGCGCCTCAGGCTCATGGAGTCAGCCGCCAGGGTGGGTCGAGCCAGAGCTCTTGCTGGTGGGCTGCATGGATGATTCGGATCAGGAGCCAGGGCCTGAGTCATGGCCTTGGCTGGGCGCTGGTGCCTGGTCCTGGAGCTACGGGGAGCCACAGAAACAGACCTCCTCTGTGCCACTGCTGCATCTGGTCCTGGCACATGGGGGGGGCGGGCAGTTGGCTTCTATGAACCAGGTAGAGGCGTGTATGAGAGATCTCGTCCCTGCATTTGGAGTTTACATTCCAGAGGTAGAAGAAATGAGCAGATACCTCGGTAATCAAAGCACTGATAAGTGACAGGAAGGAAACCAGCAGGGGTGGTGTAACTGAGGGCATGGGTGTGGGAGGATACTTTGGGTGCATGTAATCAGAGAAGACATCTCCGAGGACAAGGACGGGAGCTTTGAGCTTCGATAAGGGGTTCAGAAGGAGCCAGTGGGACGAAGTGCCCATGGGAGGGAGAGCAAGATGGAGATGTGGCAGCTGGAAAGGCAGCTGGGAGACTGAAGTCTAAGGAGTGCAGAGAGAGGTGTTGCCAAGTGGCCTGAGGCGGGACAGGCAGGCATGGGCCTCAGTCACAGAGCACCAGCCTCAGCGGACCATAGCCAGGAGTGTGGCTTTTACTTCGAGGGCAATTGGGAGACACTGGGGGTCTGGGGTGGACTGGTGTGATCTGATTTGTGTTTCAGGTGCAACCTTCCCCTGGAGGGGAGAGCAGGCTGCGGTGGGGGCAGCTCTGCGGTGACGTGGGGCGTGGGGGGCTGGCCACGCGCACTAGGGATGAGATGGGTTGAGGAGGAGAGCGCTTGGGGGGACTCCGGGTGGGGGCTGAACAGCAAGGCTGTGGTGGCCCTTGGTGAGGTGGGGAAGGCGCAGGGGAGGAGGACCCGCAGAGGGAGGAGATTCAGTTCTGCCCGGTGGCTACAGTTTGGAGGGCTTCTGTGACCTCTGCTGGAAGCATCGAAAAGGTAGGAAG